CAGTCGTTAGACTGAGGTTAGGTGATGACATGCGACATGGAGCGTCAATTGCACCATATCGTGAAATATTTACATACGAGTTGCACCACGGTATGCAATGGACAACCGTTTTATTAAACGGTCCACTCCCAGAACTGTCCTTGAGACTAAAAACCGAGTAGAGCTGATTCGCTTGTATCCACTGAGTGGTGACTTATATGATTTGTCTTTATGTTCAATTCACATAGGCCATTTTCTTTATACGGGCGTACATGTTGCACAAGTGACTGTAAAAGTGACCAAATGTCCAAATCGAATTGTGGCGAACTTACGTATCAAATTCGGGCGGAATATAGGTTTAAAAAAAAGTGTTTTACCATAATTCAAGTTCTCATTTTTTAACTAGTGGTAGCGTGGGTAAGTTGTTCCTTGTTAGGCGCCTACATCATGGATGTTGTTTTTATGTACAGTGTAGTGGGCGCGTATCGACTCGAATAAGTAGTAATTTCTGAATAGTCTTAGTATTAGAAAAAAAGCATACTTAGGTAATCTATGCAATCATGACATGGTGAAGCCTATAAGTTTGTAAGGTCCACGCTGTCGTTCTTAAGTTCATACATTAATATAGAAAAGTTCGTTTGTGCATACCATTCCCCTAATGATGTTTCTTCTCCGAATGAGTTAAATTTACTCTTGATTGAAGCAATTCGATTGGACTGATTTCCATGGCCCTTTTTTCGAATGTTAAGGTACTACTTACAGTTCGCGATAGAATAAAGGACTTAATTCATTTTTTTGAAATTTTTCTTCCAATCCATCCATCTCAACAAGAAACTGAAAAATACATTTCTTGAGGCATCAGGAGAGTGCATGCTCGTATATTGACAGTCAAAAGTATACTTGGATGGTGTTATTTAAATAGGACAGTTCCATAGTTTTCATGGCAGGTCATGATATTCGACTTCTTCAAATATATATAAATGTAGCCCTCCCAACCAAGTGATGAAGTATGGTAGCTAATTCACCTCAGTATCTGTGGTGATTATGGTGAAAAACTTTCATGAGTGAAGGGCCCTAAAAACGGTGTTTTCCAAATCGCTGTTTTCCGCCACTTTCGGTGTATTGTATATTTTAAACTAATTTACCTAGGCTGCTAAAACTAATATATCGCTTACTTGAAAGAACGTACTATATAGACATTTTGGAAGATACTAGATTTTTATTTTATAAATATTTCATTTTTAAATTTCAAATTTATCGAAACAGCAAAATTCGTCGGCTTTAGAGATTTCCCCCGAAAGTTAAACACGAATCCCATCTATAATGAAATATATTTTCCATAGTTACTTTCATTTATGTATTCTCTCAGTGTTATTTGGCATTTGTATCCTTAATACCTAGTAAGATATTGAGAAATTTATCATTTGCTTTTAAAAAAATAAGGGGAAAATATTTTTCTTCTCAAAAACCCCATTGTTGATGTGAACAATATATTTTTTCATGCTGGTACAAGAAAGCACGGGTTACTACATTGTATTAAAATGTCCTCCTTTTGCCTAACTACGTATTTATTAATTGTTATACATGGGCAATTTCGACTATGTTGGGGAGAAGAAGGGCCGCTCAGTCACTATCAGTGTTTACATCAATGTGTAGAGCATGACAAATAATAATGTAATGTGGTGATGAATTTGATTATGTGATGTTTGCATCCTATACAAATCTAATGATCAAATTGCGTCGCACGTGAAAAATGCTTTGCGTTGGTTTCATATAATAAAGACGGTTCGCATGTTCGACCTCGTTAACCGATTAGACGGATACTACTATTTGAAGTAGTTGTCTCTGCATCTAAACTCCATTAAAATTTGCATCAAAAGGTTCCAATTTAAAAGTTTTCACAATAGCAATGACTTCACATTTTACCTTAAAACCCTTCAGCTCTGAATTGCCAGCCTTTCTACTCCTCTTGTGCAGCTCTTCCCTTCACTTTCTGAAGCTTTATTCTAAAGAAACAGGAAAATATCCACGAAAAGAATGGCAATTGCTTTCTATAAAAATATTTGCTTTATTATCAGAATAAGGGTCAAAAATGTGAGAAACCGTGATATTAACATAAGGAAAATGAGTATTTCTGACAGCTGAATGCTGTGAGAATGTTTAGGCAAAAAAAGTATATGAAATTTGTGCATTGTTTCAAAATATTTTCCTCATAGTCTCCCCTAAAAGTGTATTTTTGTCTCATTACAGGTCACTTAGTGATCCATTCAAAGCCAGCTGTTCAGTGAAAATAATTGCTACATGAGGGAGCTACAGGAAAATAGGTAATTTATGCTTCCAGAAATTTTTAGGTTTTTTTTTACTTTAGAGTAAAAAGTTGACTCAATGAAACTCTCGTTTTTCCAAACTTATTGGAGATGTGGAACCTACTCATTCATTGCCACATTTAAAATTGTTGGAAACATGTAATATAAGCAATGTTTGTGAAAAGCTTTAAATTAAGAGAAAAAAAATTATTTACGTCTTAGAAATGAAACCAATAGTGAAAGTAGCAGTTTGTAAGCATTAATTTAAGGGGAGAACTGGGGAAACCTAAGTTGCACTAACCAAACATAACTTTTTGAAATTCCTCATACTTAAAAAATTTGTACTGTACAAATTAAAATTTGTTTTTTGTATGTTTTGGCGTCTAAAAGTATAATAAATTCGCTGCCTTTTTGCAATGAAATAACTAACAGACAAATAATTTCGAAATCTTTAAATTCCTACTGGATTGTGAATATACTGTACTGGAAGCTTGGAGCGACAATATCCCCATCTATGCCACAGCAGAGGTACCCATCACTTACATGAGTTTAAGCAGTCTGCAGCATATCTAATATATATAGACGATCGTGACTGACGCTAATTCTAACCACGTTCTAGAAGGGTTAGAAATCTGAAACTTGGTACACAAGTACCTTTTGGGATGTAGAGTTAAGAAAAACTCTGACTTTGGAGGTACATGCCCTGGGGTACAAATTGGGGGGGGAAACGTTTCTCTTAAAAATATTTTGTGACAGATGAGGATGGCATTTAGAGAGACAACTGGATGTCCTGGATTCAGTGGTGTAATAGTAGCATCACTAATTCAAAATAGGTATGGCAAATGTGCATCGAGAATATGTATGGAGATGACTCATTGAGAGTATGTATGGGATTCACGAATTGAGAGTATGTATGGAATTTATTAATCAAGATGGGGCTCACAGATCAAATATATGTACGGAGGTCAGATTGATTGACAGAAATGACAGTGACAATTGGTCACACATTCAGGAAAGGTATGGGGTTCGCACATCGAGAATGAGAATGGGGTTCACACATCGAGAATGAGAATGGGGTTCACACATCGAGAATGAGAATGGGGTTCACACATCGAGAATAAGTAAGGAGTATAGCAATCGAGATTAAGTATGGAATTCACCAATTGAAACAATGTATGGAATAAATGAAATGAGGATATGTAAGGTATTTATGCATTGAGAATATGTATGGGGTTCAAAGAACGATAATATATAGGGATGTCACACACCGGGAATGAGCATGGAATTTATGAATTGAGAGGATGTATGAAATTCATTCATCTCGATGGGGTTCACTGATCGATAATATGCACGGAGGCCACACATCCAGAAAATGCATGGGGTTGACGCATCGGGAATAAGTGAGAAGTTTAGCTATTGATAATAAGCATGGAATTCACTAATTAAAACAATATATATGGAATTCATGCATTAGAATATGTATGGAGTTAACACATCGAAAATATTTATGGGATTCACACCATGCGAATACGTATGGAGTTCATAGATCGAGGACAAGCATGGGGTTCACGCACTATTTCCTGAATAAATGAACATATGCAATGCGATGAGACCATCGCTGATAAGTATTACCTCTCATTATAAAATTTGTGTTCAAGCTAGTACACTAAAGAGTGATAACATGCACTAGCAAAAAACAAATGCGTATCTCATGAGTCTAAGTACTCTCCTTCTCTGTGACAGAAACTGAATGTGAATAGTCACAACATATTAACTCATTGCGTTAATGAAAATATCGATTCGGTGTTAAGATCCAGTAGAAAAATTCATTTGGTCTTGGACACATTGGACACACGATGTCTACAATTTTTAATCACAGAATTTCGTTTCTTGAGATCCCTGCTATCAATCCATAAGCATAACTTGCGATTTTTGAAACGAGTGAAGCCTCTAAAGGATAGCGTCCACGAGTGACTCGAACCACTCGAACCGACTCAAACCTCAAAAAATTGAAGTGCCCATGAGTGCATGCATGTTAATAGAGGAGCGTCAGCAAAAGAAAAAAAAAACACTTTCCCGTTATTCAAGCGATCCATAATCTTTGCTACCACATGTGCTGCTAAGAAGCACGCATACTCTTTCCGCAAAGACAAAGGAACTGAAATTTTAATGACATTCTTCGATTCGCAATTCCTGAATGACCCTCTATCCCCCCCCCCCCCCCGGCCTTGATGAGCGAATTCGTTCTAACATTGACTTCCTACTCCAGGCAGGATTTTACTTGTAACGCAGTTTCTGTTTAGAGGAAAAAATTAAGCTAACGACGGTATATCTCAGTCGTGCCCTTTTGCTTCCCTTCTCATGCGTGTCGTCGCCAAGTACGTCGCATGTCGCCATGCATTTTTGAGAGTGGGAACTCTGGCAGAACCTTTGTACTGCTGTTACTGCGACGATACTTCGACGTTCGAGCCTCACATGAGACAGAACCTCGTCTCGCAATGAGGTGCAACAACATATGATCTAGGCGAGAACGACTGTCACATAATACGCCCTATGGTATCATTGCTCGTCTTCCATGAGAAATAATGCAAAGGCAAAATCATAACACAGTTCACGATGTGAATTAAAAACTCTTGCACTTGTGGAGCCATAGCAAGGTGCATCGAAAGCTTTCAAAATTTTCGAAGTCCAAGTCGGAATCTTCCAAACAGATCATCATTCAATGCCAATACGTTTTGCGACAAAGAATCGGATAACTCGGTCGAGTGACTCGTATAAGGAGACGAGGGAGATGCCAAGGAACATACCAAGGCAACCCCCGAATTCCCCCACCGCCTGGATGAGATCGTAGGCCTCTTTCTCGACCAGAACTTCGAGGATATCCTCAGAGAAATAGATCCAGACATAGCCATTATTGTCGAAAGCGTCACTCGGAGGCGACACTTCCACTGTGTAGCGGAGACGATTGCAGGGTGGCGGGCAGGAGCAATTCAAATTAGACTGGCTCACTTTTGTCGACAAAAGGTGATAGGTGCGTGTATGATTCACGATCTCGCCCATGTTATCACACACCGGCAAAGATACGTTCATCGACGAAAGGTGACACGGTAATTGAGGGGAGATCCATTCCCAAAGGCATGTGTCCATGCACTACACGAAGGAAGTTAAGAAATAATCTAAGAAATAGTTATAAAAAGTCATGTGATGTAACCCATTTCTTACCTTGTCTCTGCTGTATCCGTCCATGGACTCGCAGGGATAGGTCTGAGTGCTGAGTTGATTCACATCTTTGGCTGAGAGGATCACGTAGTTATGCGTACCTGGCTTCACTCTGATTGTTGTATAAGACGACATAAGGTACATGGCTGCCCATTCTAGGTCTCGATGGATGTTTACTTCCCAGAACACTCTGTCAATGGTTTTATTCCATTGGGGGCTTTCGAATTGGAGAAAATAGCCGGAGCGTTCCCCTCCGAATCCTATTGCCACATTGGGATGGAATGTATAACATAGGCTCAATTCGTAATTCTTTGAATTATCTTCTCCCGCGTTGATGAATAATGTGGATCGCCATTCCCCAACTGCTCCAAGAGAAGTAGTTTAATATAACGCTCATCGGTAAAATGCTCTCCCTACGAATCGTATGATACACCTAGATTTTTAGATGAGACGTACAAAAATATGAATTTAGCTTCCCACAGATATATCTATCCTTAAAATGGCCATGAACTATTTTATTTGACATGAACACTCAGGTCTTGATATGTAACGCTATCATGGACCAAATCACCCATACAGTCCCAAAACTATCATAAAGCAGTACATAATTTTTTCGCGAATTCTGAGATTTCTGACTTGCCTTGGCTTTGGAAGACGTCACTCGAACTTGATCCTCGAAGTGGGTAGCAATCCGAAGTCATATCCAATTTGCATAGTTTAATTGCCTCGTTTGGAAGGAATCCAAAACGTTCGACGAATGTGGAGAAGTTGGACTTATAGAAAGATTCCAGTTCCGTTTCACTTTTCTTGAACGATGGCGTTGGACAGACAGTGATTTTGGGTGCCGGAAAACCCTGTCGTTCGTCTAGCCGATAGGTAGTCGACGTCGGCTTACTTTGGTATCGCTCCAAGTACTGCCGCGCCTGTTAGGTTTAATACAGTCAGGACAAGGTACTCGCCAGTGTACAGAATGGGAGTCTCACCTGAAGTGCAGTGAGGAGCACTGCGAAGGAATAGACGAGAATGGTTAGAGTTATGCTTCTCTTCATTTTCTGTGGATCTTTGGAGCTCATCTTAGATCGGCGGTTGCAAAAATGAGACGGAGACACGTTCGCAGAGAAAGGACAGGAAATAGACAGCTATTTGTCAGTATTACAGAATCCCCAAGTCAGGATCAAGGCCACATCGATGGTGTGTCGATTCTATCGCTTTCTTAAAGTCGGACCTGTGTGATGAGAACGTTTTTGCCGTCTGTGTTAGTACTTCTGAGGAGAGTAATTTTTTTCTCTCATTGTTAATGTTGACTTGTTACTTGGGACTCCTGAAGCATAGGAGTCTCAGCCATTTTCTCATTTGTCCATGTTGGCATGTATGAATGTAACCTCTAGAACCCTGAGATTGAGACACATATTCCTAGAAAAATGTTAGCAGCAAAATTTTGATACGTTCAATTGACTTTTGGGAATGTAAGTGGGACTTAGCATGAGAATTCGCCTATTATTATATACAGTATATGATTAACAATCGGCAAACGCGACACTTGTACTTTTTAACTGGCAGCGTGAAAATTCCCAAAATTTTAATATTAATACATGGTACATTGCCCTAGCACTCTTTCTGTAATTCTGACGTTTACCCCCTCACAATATCCCATCACAAGATCCCGTCTGGGAAATACGGATGGACTGTTCTAGTCGATGCAAA